ACACACACACACACACACACACACACACATGTTCTCCTTAGCTTCTCCTTGCTGGTCCCAACCGAAAATCATATCATTTCTCCACATTAGACTAGAGAATTACCCTGGGGCAAACACCTTCCCTATGAACATTTCTTTTCAGTTCAAAAATATCTCAGGCAGCAGGTGAATGCCTCGTGAGAGTCCTCCCCTCCCCAAGCTGTACACAGCACAGTTCACTGTGGCTTAATTGAAGCTACGAAAGCAGAAGATAAGGAATCTTTACCTCATCACCGTGTTTCTCCCCTTCCGCAGTTGGTGTTTATCAGTGCTTCAAGGTCACCACTGATATGGCAGCCATAGATGCCTAAGTCCCTCTGCTAATGAGTGACTCTCCTGACTCCCTCTCCGTAGCTTGGCAGGGTCCCTCTTTAACCTTCTGAGTAGAAAAGCAACTCTGCAGCCTTGCTCCCTTTTTTTCTTCATCCCTTAGATTTGCTCTGAGTCTCTGCTGAATTATATTTGAATAATTCATCCCTCTCAATTTTTACTGAGTGACTAATGTGCTAATTAAGAGAGGAGTCATTTTAAGGTTGGATTCAGTGCTCATTACTAAACATCACTATAAAATATTCATACTGTATTTGGGAATTTGGGGGGAATGCAAAAAAGGGACAGACATGTGTAAGCATGTTAATACCTTTCAAGAAACCATAATCAGAATCAAGATTTTTCTGCTTCTGGAAATGTTTTTGGCATGTTGTAAATCCTTGCCCACTCCCCCATATCTTGGTGGATAAAGTGCTTTAAGTAATGGATGATACAGTTTAAAACAAAATATCCCCAAACTGTCTCTCCGCCTGAATCACTCAAGTGTGAGAAGAGCAGTGAAGTCCCGAGACAGTGACTGACTCCTCACGTCCCCTTCCTTCTCCCACTTCCGCAGTCTGTGTGTGCCTTGTGTGCTTCCACACAACTGTAGAAAGGACGCCATCTTTGTCTGGCAAGGAAATGGGATTTTAGGGGCAAGTGTCTAAGAATTATGTGTTCAATTCTACAAGCTAATGGTTTTCTGTCTGAAGAACATTCCCTAGAAGTCACGGTCTAAAAACTAAAAAGGAGACCTAAAATCTTTGGTAGTTGAAATAATTCTCAGATCATCTTGATTAGACTTCCTATCTTAAAATACAGTTAAAAAAATTAATAGAAATGCTTGAAGAATGGCATGTTCTTATTATTTTAATTCTGCAATGAAAGAAAAGGCTCTTTTTGTTTTAATTAGTTAAAAATATTTCTCAAATGTGTGATTCTTCTTTAGTGTCATGGAAATTAGAAACCCACTTGTCTTTGATGATACAAAATTGTAAAGTTATCATTATGAATACCAAAGATCACCACAAATTCTAATAGATGTGAAAAATTTAAAAGATGATGTAGTTGTGTGTACATACACAAATATAATTATGTACACATATATAACTTTTTGGATTACATATTTAGCTGAGTTCACTAATGTAATATTTCATCCCCACCCCAGAATGTATTCCACATAAATAGCTGAGTTTACATTACCCACTTATTAGTTATATGATCAAGATTTACTCTGCACTGTTTCAGTTGAATTCTTGCCTGACAAGCCAGTCTTTGGGAACATCCTAATACTTAAGGAGGCACTGAGTCTGCCTTGCCTCTGTAGATGTTTGGCATTCAATATAGGCATATCTCAGTGGTTAAAAATTTGGTCAGTAGAACTATTAATATGCAGATAGATCCTTGACTCAGTAGATATACAAGTGTTTAATCGTCCAACTTCCTATGGCTTGTATTGTGTAAAATGAATTTGTTTCAGAATTCTGTATTAGTATATAAACTTTACATAGCTCAGCCTTGTGTGAAGAGGGCTTCTTTTTTAAGATTACTCTAAACACGAAAGCTGCATTGTCTCCACCAGAAACCCAGGGGACTCTACAACTTCCTTTCTCATTGTGGAGATTAGAAAGATACCTATGCACTAAGCTGAACTAAATTAGATAGATAGCAGAAATACCAAAAGGTACAGAGACATTTAAAGCTTTCATTAAAAAGACAAATTTCATTGGAAATAAAAGAAAAAAATCTCAAAATTGAATATAAACTTTAAGGAATTCTAAACAGAGACAGCAGAGGCTTTTTAATATGACTATTATTAAAAGTCCTTATCATGAGAAGGAAGCAAACACTTTGGTTGGTAGTAGAGTGAAAGGTAGAACATGGAAAGATTCAGGGCAGGAAAGCCCTCCACCATTTAACCAAGATTATGTGGGTGGGGGTAAAACTTAGTCTGGGGTTTTGCCAAGCCCTTGTGAGGATGCTTTGGAAGGTTAAGATGGAATGTGAGGACTAAGGCACTGGCCCCAGACCATTACCAGACCCTTCCTTGATTCTCAGCAACATATTTACCACTATTTTCTCACCAAAACAATAAATACAATAAAACTACTCATATCTTATGGTTGTTTCAGGGTTTAATGAACCCAGGCAGCTCCAATATGGCCACACAGGACCTAAAACTATGTACAAAGCTCCAATGGACAGTGGTATGAACATGGCTTTCTCTGGCTGGGAGAAAGGGAAGGTGTCTACACAGGCTGTCATCTTTGAGTTGAGACTTGTGGAATCAGTAGGATCTTTCAGGTAGAAAAATATCAGACAAATGATTTCAATTAAGTAAGAAAGATGTGAGGTAGATTTCAAATCATCAAGTATATTGTATTCATTTTCATTACCATGACAAACACACAAGACAAACAAGGAAGGGAAGACATTGTGTCCTTGACTTTCAGAGAGTTTGTTTATTTATTTATTTGTTTATTTATTTATTTATTTATTTTGGTTTTTCGAGACAGGGTTTCTCTGTGTAGCTTTGCGCCTTTCCTGGGACTCACTTGGTAGCCCAGGCTGGCCTTGAACTCACAGAGATCCGCCTGGCTCTGCCTCCTGAGTGCTGGGATTAAAGGCGTGTGCCACCACTGCCCAGCTCAACTTTCAGAGAGTTTAATCCACAGTTCCTAGTCTCCATTGCTTTTAGACAGAGGCGGAAAGGGGGTGATAGGATAGACCTGCTTACCTCCCAACAGCTAGGAAGGGCCTGTAAACAAGCTGTGTTTTTCGAAGCTCCATCCCTGTAATATATTTCTTCCACCTAGGCCTCATGCCCTCCAAGACCATTCAGCTATGAATGGGTAAATCCATTGATGAGGTTTGCCTTTATTCTCCACTCAGAAGCAGTACCAAGTTGGGCGACCAAGTGTTCAACACCCAGGTATTCTCTGGAGGGGACTTTATATCCAAATCACAACAAATTCATGAGAAGAACAAGGCTTGGTGTAAAGGAAGTGATTATTTTTGAGATTTACTTATAGGAATTCCTAAGACATTTTAAAAAGGAATTTCACAGAAATCATTTGATTTTTACAGAAGCATTCATGAAGTGAGTTAGCAGTTTACAAATAGCAAAGGTGTAGCTTAGAGAGGATTTTCCCCAAGGACAGAACAGGTAAGAAAGTGTTTTCTGAAGCACCTTCAAAACGATAAGAAGGTCAATTAAGAGTGTGATTTGTTTGGATCTATAGCTTTGATGGTCAGTTCATTCCCATGTAACAACATAATGGTGAGTTAAAGAAGGATGCTAGTTCATCTGAGGAAATGCTGAAGTCATGTGTCACAGAGAACCCCCAAAATGACATGGATACTAGATGGGTTGCATTCCAGCTCAGGCTCAGGACCTAGCCTCAAGTTCAAAGCTAAGTGAAACTGGAATAAAAATGAAATTAGCCAGGGATAGGCAAATGATATTTGAGCAATATCTCCAAACATAGATGTCCTTCAGGCCTTGCCTTTGTCAATTACCACATGGATAGTGTACGAAGTGACCAGGCTCATTTAGAGTTCCAAGGAAGACACTAAATGGGCCAGAGGAATCCAACAACTCCTATTGACTTGGTTGCTTCTCAGTTTTGAGAATCACATAGAACACTTAAAAGGTATCAGTAGTCTTGACTATTACCCAATTCAACCTCCATATTTTACAAATAAGAAATCTCAATTTCCAAAGGGGAAATAATAGAAAAAGAGAGAAAGAAACAAAAAACTGCACTAAAACTTCCAGCCTCCTGTTTTTTAATCAAATGTTCTGCTGTATTATAGTAGGCAAAGTTATTTATTTATTATTATTTGACAGTATATAATCTTTAGCCAAACTGCTCTACATACAAACACATTTTTTTCTCTCTCAACTTCCATGACCACATTTCAAAGACATAGAGAAGTAAGAATCAAAATAAAGATGAAGTGATTCCACTAGAAAGAAAAGGCCAGAGATTTGTTTGATGTTGCTCAGAAGTATCCATGGCTTAGACCAGGCTTTCCATATCTTGGGATTTTCTATTTAGAGTTACCATGTCCATTTTTATCTCAAATGCCTCTGAGTTCAGGAAGAGAAATTCCATTCCCTTGCTTTGCTGTGTAACCTGACCAAGGACATTGCTGAATAATGAGTTGCTATCAGCCTAGCAGATAAAACTATCATGAATCTCTTCACTAATTAAGGGTTAAGAAATTTATTGTATACAGTAATGCATTTACAAGATGAGGAATTGTCTCAATTCTTTCTGTCAGTGCTGCTTCTCTTGATATTTTAAGTAGACTAGAGCAGATTTAAAGTGTGTTTGAAGAATGAGGTGTGCAAATACGAAGGGTAAACACAGGTGTCTTTTGAACACCTTATATTAAAGCCAGTGGGGGAAAACTTGCTATTTGGAATAAAATAGATATACATCAATTAAACATAAGAAAGATACCAGTAGCATAAAAATAATGCAATAAAACTATCATAAGGGACTCAAAGAAAACAAGGGCATTTCAGAAATACTGCAAATACCAGAGAGAAATAGGCCCACTAATAAATGAGGAGCATGAAATTAATGATGAGTCTAAAATGGTAGAGATAATGAACTCATTTGTAAAATCAGTCCTTAACAAGAAAAATGAAAATAGGAAGTTTAAACAATTAAGAAGTAATGAAAACCTTGCAAAAATAGCTGTTGACAAAGAAACAGGAAAGAAAAGGCCAATTCTATTTCGGGCTGGACCAAAAGAAGTATCCCACAGCAGTGAGGAAATTTATTATGTCAGTGGTAATGTACCTAAAATACTATGCAAAGTTTATGGCCATTTTGATCAGCTTTATTCTCAGACCCAAGACTTGGTATGAAGAGACAAACACCTACAGAGATTCTCCTTTCCAAGCTTATACATGTACAAATAAAGATAGACATACCATGAGCTGAGAGAGGAAGGCATTTGTGTTGTGCTTACTGGTTTCCACCTCTGGAAAACCAGTCTTAGTAAATGTGGTATACTTGGAACAGCTGAAAAATGTGTTTTGCTCATAGAAATAGTGCAATACTTTTCTT